TTTTTTTTTCTTATATATATATATATATATATATATATATATATATATCTCGAAAGCCACCAAATATGCAATATTTGAGCTATGGAGCTTGGATTGGATTCAGTTGCCAAATATGCAATGTGACTAAAGAAGAGGAAGTGTTTCAAGGTGATCAAACACTGTGGGTCTTTTGTAAATGTGAATTGGAGGCTAAAACCTTTTTTTTTGCATGTAATTTCTCTTACCACATTTGGCAATGCTGTTTATATTTGGGGTTGGAAAAACGGAGTTTTGCCATGCTGTGCAAAGAAGCATTTTTGGTCCAATCTTGGAATGGCATTAGGAAAGCAACACAAGAATATTTGGAAACTTATATGGCTTTGCGTATTATGGTCTACACAGGAACCAGATTTCTTTCAATGCTTCTGAGGTTAATCAAACAGAGGTAGTGGAATTGATCAAAGTTAGAACTTGATTTGTGAATCAAAGCTAAAATTGAAAAAGTATCAGTGTCTTATTATGAATGGTGGTCAAATCCTGTAATGTGTCTATTTTCTTATTAGAAACTTGAACTGCATGTTGATTGATATAAAGGGTAGGGGGTACTTATTTGCTTTACCTAAATAAAAACTTCTACATTAACTGTTCTTTCCTTTCTCCTCCTCTCCAACTCCACTTGTTAGTTCATGTATGTTGGTTTGTTACAAGGAGGGGATGCTAACAGCAATCAAGAGAGGTGTTTTGATTAGCAACCATATTGATTGGGACTATAACTAATTGCAAAGCAAGGATTTCACACATAAGGTGGATAAAGGTGATCCAAAATATCCAACTTAAGGGGACATTTAAAGCAAAAAAAAAAATAAATAAATAAATAAAAGGTGAAAGATATGGAATTAGATTGTGCTAAGGGGGCCACATGCCACTCAGCAATTTTGATATGATAAAAGATTAAATGAAAGATACCCTGATTTTGGTCACAACTTCTTTTCTCCACTTCTCGTCTTTAAAGTACCAAAGAATCTATAAATGTTGGGAAGGACCAATAAAGGTTTGTGACCCTTGGCTATTAGGAATCTGCAATTTATGAGCATCAAAACTATGCAATTATCAGCCAAAGTAAAACAGGAGTTGGTAGATGGATATCCATGGCATAACCCCTAGCATATGCCAATGTTTCATTGTGGTTTATTCCATCTTCTTTTCTATAAAGTGCCACACACACAAATCGGAGGCAATTCAAGACACAAGCACAAACTGAAGCTCAAAACTTAAGCAAATAAGCAATAGGGCACCTCTCTCCTGGCAGGTGAAAGGTCAGTAACCAAAAATCAGTGTCAATAACTTGCCAAAGGAGAGTTGCCCTGTGGCTCATTTAGCTTACTCTCATACAATGGTGGCAGATTAAAGGTAATCCAAGTTTAAAGAAAATGTATGTTATTGGTTCTAGTCTCTTACATTTTAATTAGTTAAGGGATGTTCTGTTTTCTTTAATACATTTTTTTTGTGAGAATGACACTTTCCATCAATGTTATTGAAGATATTTTCAATTCACAACCAAAGCTGTAAAATGTGATCCTCTAGAGTTGTGAAAAATAACAATTTGATGAAGCAAGCAAGGTGCGATTTTTTCTTTTGGAAAAAATGTATAAAAGATTTATAATCCTGCTATACTTCTGATATATCCTATAATTTCACAGAGTAATTTAAATTAATCAATACTCCTGATACTTTATGAAAGTTATTTTTTATCTAGTTTAAACTGATTAGAAAGTTGGTCAAATCAAGTGTGTCTACTTCAAACATATTTCACCTTTCAATTCCCATCACATTGCTGCACCTACACTCCACTAGTTCATTCATTAATTCTATCACAACTCGTGCAAACTCGGGCAGTGATACCACATGCAAGAAAAATAGGTCTGTTTTTTTTTTATTATTATTCATAAGAATTATAAAAACGATATCGGACATGGAATTTAGAATCTTGTGTATATTATTATAACTCTCAACGCCACTAGATTGATGCTAGTGATTTAAAGTCTGTTTTGTTTAATTCAAGAGCAATGATAAGGTAAGGATTGTGGTGCATTTGGCTCTGGTTTCTTCCTGTGGTTGGTTTTGAATACTGCAGAGTCTAGTGCATAATTTGATTTTTAATTTAAGTTTCATATGTTTTATTTTGTTTTTCTATAAATATTTATTAATGAGTTTATTCAAATTATTCTAAATATTTACATAATGAAATAAGAGTAGTATTTACCTTATTTCTCTCTG